TGACCTACAAATAGCAAATCCTCCAAAGCATCCAATGCGTCCATCCACGCGGCTCTCATGCCTGCACATCCAATGCATCCTGGCCTCCTCTCACTTCCCTTGAAAGCTCTAGGTGCTCATCTCTTCATGCTACTCAAGCAGATCCCTGTTTGCACAGCACCGACTACTAGGAGGATGTCCTCCCAGATGTGCACAGGATCACTGCAGCCTCCCACTCCCAATATTTAGGTTGCTCTCAGGGCTTTGCTCCATGTGGGCTTTTGCTTATGAAAGCATGTCAGGCAGACACTTGGCACCAAGGCAGGGGGAAGGCGCCAGCGAACCTCTAAAAGCTGTTGGGACTGCGACCTCCATCAGCACCGAAGCAAGGGCTAAATCTCATGCTTATGCACAGAAGGTTTGGGTCTCTGACATGTAAAATACATGCCCATAAGGCCACTTTAACATGGCAATATTTTCCATGCAAACACACATCTTCATGAACTGTGAAATGAGAAGGAAGCTTTGACACAAGGTCTCTGCTCAAGCCTCATATGCACTACTGGAGGTAAAAGACAAGCACATGGAAATGGGGGAGAGGTGCGTTTAGCCTTCCCACACCTGCAATCCTAAACATTCTCTATTTGGTCTCAAGGAGAAGAGCAGGGTTTTCTTCTGAGTGGTTAGGATGGAAGTCTGTCTAGGAATGTCTTCTCCTTAATCCCAAGCATGTGACAGCTGGTTGTGTTTACTCAGTGATTGTTTGTGGGAACTCTGTACATGCTCCTGAACACTCGCTTTATGCTCTGTAACTGTCTTACAGAACTGGGACTGGAAAGGGGAGAGTCGCAATTGTCTGTAAGACAGAGAACAGAACAGAGAGAGCAAAAGAATGATTGCCAGCCCCAAAAATGTCAAGCTCAGAATCGATGTCTTAGTGGCTCGCTGAAAGCTGGCATCAAATAAATTATGATTGGTATAAAAGTCATTTTGATGTGCCTATCACTGGACCATCTTTCAGGAAACTCAAACTGGGGGGGGACAGGGAGTGGCATTATCAACCTGGGAACCATGACGGGCTGAGTGAGCAACCTGCCTGAACATCGTCAGCCGAAAGGGAAACAGGGCTTATGTTCTGAAACCGAGTGCAGTGATAGGCCTTCTCCCATCTTTCTGGCTTGCCAAGCTCTCCTGGCTTGCTAAGATCTCCCCAACATGACTGAAATGCCATGTGCCTGTGTGCAGGGGTCATTGCTTCTAGCCTCCTTGTCGAGCATAACTAAGAGCAAGAGGCGCCTCGAGGTAGAAAAAAGCAGAGAAATGAAGGATCTTGGCATGTTCCCAAAGACTCTCAGTAGAAATGAGGTGGGAGTTGAGGACAAGAGATTGTTGAATGCGCCTGCCCTCAAATAAGGAAATTATTACGAGAATGTTTTCCTTCTTCCTTGATTTATTCAGTGGTCCTATATGCAAACTTGTGGTCATCCACTGATCTCAAAGCAGAGGTCACTTGGGCGGCTATGGCGCTAATGATGAGTCTCAGTGTGGCGCCATTGGGAGGCATGAAAGAAGAAAGCATGCATCTCTTCAGATCCCTGCTCTAGGGAAAAAAGGAAGTATTTTGGGCAAAAGGAAGCAAAAAAGCCCCAGGAAAAAAGCAGCTTGAAGAGGGCAAGGCCAGACAAAAGAGTAGGAGAGGACGGGAGCCTGTGAGTGCTTAACACTTTCTCCACCTGTCACTTGTCTACTCCCAGACTGTCTACCAAACTTCTTTACCGACACACATAATGAATTCCAAGCGAGTTTTCGGAGAAGCAAACATATATTTGGGCACCTGTTGGGGACTTGAGGCAAGGGAAAACAGTCTGAGAAAATGATTTGGAGCAGAAAAACGGAGGCAGGCTAAGGAGACACATGCACACCCACATGAAGCCCCTTTCTCTGTTCCAAATCCATTTCCCTCCAGGAAAAAACAGCCATTGGGCTTTTGTATTCAATCCGTAGTTAGGCTGTGAATTGCAGGCATGTATTTCAGTGGAGCACTGGAAAGCTCCTATATCCCACCAAAGAAGAAAACTTGGCACAAATATTGCAGAGCAATTACTGTTCCTAGTGCCAGGCACATTGGAAAAGGCATCAATGCTCTCCTAGTTTAGATCTGGTATCGACAGTTTTTCCTTCCATACAAACAGGGGCTTGATCTGAATTGGGTTTGCAGCAAATGGCAAATGATGAAAGCTCCCTTCCTTCCCACAACAGGGTCCTGATCCAGTTTGGCCCTGATCCTGTTCAGCCCTGCCCTCCCCCAGCTAAATGTTGTAACGTCTAAGTTGAGTCTCACTCTTATGCATTCCAGTCCATGGGCCTAAATGCCAGTGGCCACCAAGAATGTGCCCAGAGCCATCTTAACTCCTAAGGTGTTTTTGATGTAAAGCTTCATCATGAAAGCCGACTCCACTTATGGCACCATAACAATGTGGATTGTGGGCGAGAAAGGGTGATTCTCAAGGCCATATGTAGGATCCATATGTGCGACCAGATCACCGCTGGATCTCCTCCAGCTTCTTAATCTGGATTTCCAAAAGTTTGCTTTAAAATAGATGCTCACTGCCTCAGTGGAAGAAGAATTTAAGGAGCCACCAGATACTTGGTGGTGAGAACTACCCATCAAAGACACGGTGCCGTTCTCCCATCTTCATCCTTAAATTATATACATATTTTTGATAGAAAGGAAGAAGGCAGAAGCAGTGTTTTCTTAAAGTACAGATGATTGAACTGCCGCTAAGAAAGCACGAAACAGCCTGAAAACACATCCTCATACAGTAAATAAAATTGTTTACCTTTATGCACTATTTTTAAAAAGAAAATATTGATGGTGAATGGGACTGGGGAATAATTTACGGTCTTCAAACCATATGGAAATGATGAGTTCCATAGCACTGGAAATGGGTGAGACATTCACTGGTTCACATTTCAGAGTTAAATAACCAAAGCCACACTTCCCAAGCACAAAAGGAATAATTAGCAATCAAAATCCATACACTTCTGGTGTAGTACTGCAATTGTTCCCTGTGTGCAACAGAAGGTACAGGGTGTATACTTTTGAAATAATGCACATAAAACAATTTATTCAGTGGAAACACTGCTTAGAAATGCATGCATTTTAGAAAATATATCCATTCAAAAATACAAAACACGTCTATTTAAAAATATAAATGAAAATTATATACACATCCCCTTCATGGATCACTGCCTTGTCATGGCGAAGGGCCTTGTGTAGCTCAAGGAAGCTATGAGCTATGCTGTGCAGGGGCACCCAAGACGGACAGGTCATAGCAGAGAGCTCTGACAGAAGGTAATCCACTGGAGAAGGAAATGGCAACCCACTCCAGTATCCTTGCCATGAAAACCCCATGGAGAACTATAGCTCAGCGTAATGCATAATCATGACAGAATGCACTTAGCATCAGAAAACTGGGAACCTGAATGAAATCATTCTTGAGAGACTTGCTCATTCTTATTCTTGCATCCTTCCTTTTCCTGCCAGCTACCTCCACGTGTCACTCCTCTGATTTCTAGACTTAATTAAAAGAAGCCCTTAGATTTATTCTAAAGACTTATAGCCCAAAATGTTACTGTGGACCATTCAAATTCTCAGTATTTGGCTGACAGGGAAGACAAAGATACCTTTCGAACTGGCAATTAGATCTTGGCCTGCCCCGCTGAGTCCCAGCCCCATAGCTGGGTTTGTCTGCTGCTAATGACTCGGTGCTGTTGCATGCCTTCCACAGAGAAAAGCCAAGTCAGCTGAAGGGCCTGCATTCTGCTCAGGACCGTTGCCCCAGTTCTTTCTCCCACTTATGGGAGCCAAGATGGCCATTCTGTCTGGAAGCATGAACTCAGCTCTCATGTCCCAAGCTGCCCTTTGGAAGGAAGCATAAGCCACCTACTAAGCATGGCTTCCAGAAATCAAGAGGAAAAGCACAATCCGATTACAGGGTCTTCAGAAAGGATGAAGAAGCCAGGCATCCAGGCGCCAGATTTCTTCTCTGTTAGCCAAAGCAGAACTGCTGTGCAAACAAACCCTAAAACAAGCTAGTGCAGAGGATGCCGCTTTGGTCACTAGCAGAATTTCCTCTCTGCGTGGAATGTCCTGGTGCTCAAAGGGAAGTGCAAGAGGGAGAGCAACAGATCGCCACCACATGCCAAGGACATGACACAGTGAGGTTTACTTAGAGTTGCTTCCAGAACAGCATCTTCCAGGGCTACCAGAACACTGTCCTGGGACGTTTTGTAAAGGATGGAGTATAAATATTGTTAATAAATAAATAAATAAATACTGTTTTCCAACCTAAGTTACACATGGAAATGCACTTCATTCCCCGCTTTTGATGCAGGATGGTTCGGGTTTTGTGTACACAGCTACATGAGTGGGCTTAACCATGTGGGCAGGGAAGGGACAAACCACCTGTTTTTAAATCAACCACTGCATTGTGCATTGTGTTTTTAATTGCAGCACTACAGCACGATTGCTTCAATAATGCTGAAAAGTGGAAGAATTAAAAACAAGAGGACAAATGAACACAGTGGCCCAGTATCAACAGTTGTTATCTGGATTTAATTATCAGAAGATCCTTAACTATAGTTTCCCATTTTGTCTGAACAGAGAAACTGTGGTTACCAGCTTAAGACCAAAGGGTTGTTCACACGTTGTTGAGCACCAGTGGATGTACTGCAGGCAGCATATTCACTTCTTCAGCGTGACCCATGACTAGCTTTCTTGTAGGCTGTACAACGTGCCATGCAAGCCCAGACTGCTGGGTTACGCAGGGCTACACAACAAGCCATGGCTTAACCACTGGGTTGTTTAGCTCCTAAAGAATCCAGGGGTCTGCATTTGTGTGCCATGCTGTACGGCCGACAAGGTGTCAACCATGGATTGTGCTGGAAAAGAGGAAGGCATGTGGCACACAGTGTACTTGCTCATCCCACCCAGAGATGATAGCCCATCATTTTAAAAAGAAAATACGGAATGCTTCACAAATTTGTCTGCCACCTTTGAGCAGGGCCCATGCTAATCTTCTCTGTACCAATCCAATTTTAGTGTATGTGCTGCTGAAGTGAGCACACCCATCAATTTTTAAACCAATAGTTTGTCATTTTATGTGAGAGAGGATGAAGCCAGGTATTAAAACATGGTTTGAAGCTGGTTTAATATTCTAAACAAGCCAGGATATCAAATTAAGTGCAAACCATGGCTTAATATTCTGGCTTGTTTGGAAGAAATGGGAAAGTAGGATTAAGTGAAGGTTTGATTGTTGCATGGAGCAAAGGGATATGTGCTCAGGCGAAAGACTCATGTGTAGCTCAGCTTATTAAGCCAATTCTAAAGTCATTTCTGGTTTCTGCCTCCTTGTTACGCTGTAGCTTGGTGCAGCAGTGTGCCAAACCAACAGGATCTAAGGGTGCAGCTAAGCATGTTCTGTCCATCCCTGTGTCTGCCATCTTCCCTCCCAGTTGTGGGCGTTTTGGACTGTGCCTACTTCTTTGAAAAGCAGCTTTTCCTGTGTGTGTGCTTCCCAATGTCAATGGGGACAACTCAGTGGAGAAGAGCTTTTTTTAAAAAAGCTGATGCCCTAAAAAGAAAACATAGTATTAACGTTATACTTTCAGGCATTCTGATAACCCAAAGGATCTTTTTCTTAACATGTTAAGAATTATTGTTCCCTCTGAAGATGTGCTTTTGATTGGAGGGCCTGCTGAGTTCTGACAGGGAAACTGAGGTGAAAGATATGGAGGTGACAAGAAACAAATATCCGGGTAAAAATTAACGGGGAGCAGCAGGGAGCGTGTGCACATACAGCCCTCCATTTCTGCACAATGCTCAGAGTATGCATCGTTTCACTGTCCTGCCAGGCATAACACAGCTTTAAAAACAATGCCCCGAGAAAACAAACCAACCCTGAGAGGTAAGAGCTTTACTTATTATGCATCCGCCAAAGAAAATAGTCCAAATTGGAAATGGTTTGTTTGCTCCACAGCTCATGTGCTTCCAGCTGCAGTATTTCCGACGCTGCTGGCAATGAGATTTGGCTCTTCTGCCATGCAATTCAGCCCCCAACCCGAGGGACTTGCATGCCTGCCTAGTCTACACTCCCTCCACACAAGACCTGCTGTTCAAGATGTTGCTACACTGTGTTGCAGGCACACTGTACTGACTGAGACTCAAGCACAGGAACAAAAGTGTTCCATGAGTCGATGTAATGGGGAGCTGGGAGGCAATTCCAAGTGGCACTTTGAGTGCAAAACAAACTCCTGACAGGCTGCAAAGGCTCTCCAGGGACCTGCATCTCAAGAAGGAAAGGGAAGTTCTTTCAAAGGCTGAGATGGGCCTCAGGGTAAAGCAGAGGTGGCCTGATTGTGGACTGGTCTACCCCTCTTCCTGCCCAGAAGCACAGGTGTCTACTGCAACTTTTGACCTGGATGTCAAGAAGGGCAGAGAAGCAGAAAGGGACGGTGGAAGTGCCCATTTACATCATCCCAGGGAGACACCTGAACCCACAGGTCTTGTTTCCCATTGTCTTACTTCTTATGGCACGTGGTTCCAATCTGCCGCCCTCATAAAAAACTTGTTCCCTCATGCAGACACCAATACAAAGGTGATGTGAACATGCTCTAATTGCTCTCTGGGTGGGATCATTGGCCCCTCAACAGAGTTCGAATCTTTCCTGTTGCAGAATCCTCGAACTCAGATTCCTCCATGGTTGGCAGTAGATACAGGTGAGGAGAGGAGGAGGAAGAAAACAAAGATGAAGAACATTCATTGACATAATTAATGTACTGCCCCAAGATGCAGTGACGGCGACTTGTTTGGATAGGATTGGGCCAATACTTGTGGCTGTAGGTATTAATAGCTTCTTTCTGTGCATTAAGGGCCTCTGACAAGGAAGGCACGGTGGGGTCTTCCCAGAAAGGTACTTGCACAAATATGTACGAGCGTGAACAAATCATGGCTGAGTTAACACAGTGTTCAGGCCATTGCCACATGCTGATTCACTCCTCCCCTGCCTGAGGCACGCAGGCTTGAGGGGTGGCTGCAGAATTGCCAGAAATACTCAGGAGTGACTCTTGGTGCCCCCACATTGTCTCTTCTTTGGACAGCTGTTCTCGTGCTTTCTACTTTGATTACTTTAGGCTGGCATTAGTTTTAGCATAGCAGCACCAGAATGGGAGGTTCCTATTGTGAGCGCAGAATGGGAACCTGCCCTAAGGGTAATGCAGGGTAGCAGGTACCGAGAAGTCTTAGAAAGACACAAATGGGGATCCTGCATTACTTTGGCTGCCCCAAAGGGGAAATTCAATGCAATTACTTCCCAGTAATACTTTATACATCTAAAGCCCTTGGCTTCACCTGATCTGTGTGGTTAGAACTGCAGGGATAAAAGGACCTTTTCACAAACTAGTTCAGGCATGCTGCAGCTCAAAGGTTCCCAAACATTTTGCACCCATTGACAACTTTGGGGATTTAGGAAACTGCTGCGGGCAACACTACGGAATGCCTAAGCCGTAGATCACTATTTTTGACATTCACCTGTCCCATGAATGGCTCTCAGGAAGTGTCTTATTCAGCAAAAATTGTTTTGTGTCTAGTGGATACCACAACATGCCTTTAAGAAGGGATTGTCTAATTCATCTAATTGCTAGCAGCGTGATGCAGCTAATGCTTCTTTTGAAAGTATTGTTTTGTGATGTTAATTCTTTCTGGGAAAAGGTTACCACACAGATAATTTGGGACGAAGCGAATCCACAGATAAATATTCACTGATGTACATGCTCTTTTAAAATTATTTACCAGATCCATGGAAATTAATAGATGGAAGGGGAAATTTATTTTCTGTGTCCTTAGGACAACTAAAATACGGATTTTATGACAATGGAAGGATAAACACCCACCTCTTATAATGCAATAGGCTGAAGACCTCACAACACTTTTGGTATATGAACAAGCAGCTTACAGACACCAACTTCAAAAGGATACATATTTGAACATTTGGCCTGCTTTTGTTGAAGCCAATGTATAATTGCTAGACAGTTCTATGCATTTCATGCAACTCCACTAAAATATAAGAGGAAAGCAGAACAAATGTTTTAAAAGTATCTTTTTAGATGTTCAGCTTCCCAGAGGCAGCATGTTGGGTCACAGGTGCCACTGGAAATGCCCGCAGGTGACACCTTGGGCCCCCTTGCTGCAGCTGTGATTTTACAAAGAAGCATTGCAAGCCTCTCATTTTTATTGTTACACTTACAACATGCAACATATGTTATATTTAAAACCAAATTATTGCAAGCCACATTTGAGCCTTAGTACAAGTTCTCTTTTTAAATTACAAGTTCCCACCTATATATGCCTTGCTCCTACCCTGTCACACTTTCCTTTTAAATGAAGCAAGACCCCTGAGTGTGCATGCGCTCCAGCACAGGAGGAGGAAGGCATCCCCCAAAGGGTGTGTGGCTCCCTGAGACATATTTGCCACCGGAGGGAAGAGGGGATGCCCTTGCTGGTGCTCGCCACTACAAGAGCAGCTACGGAGATCCCTACAAGTGCAGCAATTCTTAGACCCCGAGGATGGACAGAGGAGGGACCACCGTTTTCCAGCTGTGCTGTCATAGCCCCCTCTCTGCTGTCTTGCTGACTGGCAAAGACTGTTTTCCTGGGCTGGGTGCTGTTTTTGCTCTCTTGTTGCTTGTTTTTAATTTTATTTTAATGGGTTTATATTATTATTTTCATCATAGTTTATTCCTGTCCGTAAGTGGTCTTTAATGCTCCTTTTCATGGCAGAAAGGTGGGTAGAAATCCACCACAGCCATGCATAACCTTGAGGGAGGGCCTCTGGGCTGTGCACATCCAACAAATGTCCATTTATTGTGCCAGAAATGAACAGCACAGGAAGCCCTTGTGTCCAAGAGTTCCGTTTGGCTTCTCGTGACCGGGGAAATGCATCACTTCAAGCAGCAAGGATGCCTACGTCTTTGCCCTGCCTGTACCATTGCCCAGCTTGTGCCTGTCACTCCATCCCACAGTACCTGCCAGTGAAACGGGAATGTAGAACAAAGCCTGCAGGGATGGCATGCGAGTGAATGAATGACTGAATTAGCGCAGGGCTCTTGGAGCTGATCAGATGACGAGAGCCACAGAAAGAGCCCTTCGAAATTACTAATAAGGCTCCTATCCTCCCACACGAACCTTTGATTGTTCCCAACAGTGAACAACTGTGTCCTTGTTTGGGTGCACAGCAAATTAACATCCCAGCATCACACACACGTTGGCAAGACAAGGAGCACCTTGGCCCACGGGCGAGAACCAGCACAGAGCTTCCTATGAGCAGCAGTGCTCAGACCCTCAGCTCGAGGTATGGGAAATCTCTGGGAGAACTGGTGCTTTCTTGGGATAAAGTGGTTGCTTCCTGAGATGCTTTGAAAAAGGTTGCAAAGTGGGCTTTCTAGCTCAGACAAAGTGCAGTGCTGTGGATGGAGGTAGGAACAGCTAGAGAGCGTGGCAACACTGGCTTTGATCAGACTCCTGTGGCTTCAACAGCTGAATGAAAGAAATGCAACAGTCATTAGGCCTCCTTCTCTCCACTTCTCTGTGTACTAATGAATCTCTGCCTATTAGTCTTCTGCCAAAGGAACAGGGATCCTGCCAGAAAAAAGGTGGCAATACTATTTACCTCCTAGTCTGGGAACCAAGATTAAGCTTGATATTATTGATGGGTTCTGTTTCTTTATACCCAAAGTTTCAGGATCACATCTCTGCCTTCCCTCAGAATGCATAAGACTTCTCTTCTCCTTTTCTGCTTGTTCTCTATCTTGTGCTCACCAGAACCATCCACTCAGGCCTATGGAGATGTACAAGCACCCCTTCCACCTAAAGAACGCTATCCTGAATTTGTTCCATAAAGTGGGTGCACTTCTTGTTTGCTAGGACTCTTCAGCTGCTCCAGTATCAGCACTGGGGGGGCGGGATCCACAAGGAGCTTCCAAGCCCCTTCCTGCCCCAAGCCTCTAAAATTCACAAATGCATCAAGCACACAACACACGCATCTATAGCATTAGGAACCTATAGCATGGGTCTGGAGCAGCTCACAGGTGTGTTTTGAATCAGACCTTCAGATAACTATTTTAACTTTATACTCAAATCACCTCCACTTCTCTGCCAGAGCTGCACTGAAACATGCTCACAGGGAATAACATCTCTGATTTTATAAGTCTAAATTTCTAGACCTTGAGAATCCAGAAGAAAAAGTGCTGATTTCAGCTGCGTGCTTGGTTTTCGGAGGCAAAACGCTTGCACGTGTGACTTTATAAGCACTCCTCTGCCCTCCCCTGACCATACAGAGTAGCTGATTAAATCCACAGGTCTAGGTACACTTTAATTTGAGGCATCTGGATGAAGAAATGAGTCCCCAGCATGCAATGTGCTTCCTGGAAATGCGCATCTATACGTCCTCTCCTCTGGCCTTACCACAGCTAGAAGCTCTACTCAGCCTGCTCTCCAGAATGACTCTCTTTTGCCACTGCCACCGCTTTCAAGGGACAGAGAGCAGGACAAAGCACCCACAGCCACAGGAACAGCCATAGTCCCCCAGTCCACTGGTGAGACTGGGCTTCTAATGACAAGGCGCGAATCCTAAGACTTCCCTTGGCCGATAACAACAAAAAGGGCTCTCTTGCATCGCAACAAAAAGCCCAATGGGGCTGTAAAATGCCAAACTAGCCTAGATCTCTGAGGCTCTAGCTCAAGTCTATACCAGAAGGTCCTGATACTTGATCTAGGCTGCAACAGTTTCCAGAGCTAGGAAACATATGTCACTCCCTTGCCCAATTAAAAATTAAAGCTGGAAAAAGTGGAGGGGTTTTTATGCATACAGCACAGCAAATAAATAAACAGTAGACAAGCCCTTATCCTCCAGTCACTCAGCAGACAGCACTTTCCCTGGTTTTGCCATAAGCAGTGCATTATGTTCAGCTATGGATAAAGTTGGCTTAGTAAAAGGATCAGTGTGCCGTGCTGCGTTTAGGACAATTAATGCAGATTTACAGACCTTGGGAGAGCTTTATGAAAAGGAAATGTATCTATCATATGCCTTCCTTCTGCAAGCTTGTTGGAATGCAGTGTTACCCACCACCACAAATAAAATAAATGCAACATGTACCAGTGCATTTCAAGAATTCAGCACATTTATCTCAAGCTTTCCTTTTAACAACCCTGTAAGATAGGGCCATATCAATACTTTCAGAATATAGATGAGTGGGGCAGGAGGCTGAGGATGAGAGAACTATGGCTCTTCTAAGGCTACCTAGTGAGCAGGACCACTTAGACTGGAACCAGGAGTTGCCCCTGCACAACCTTTCCCCCATTGTACCAGAGCTATGATGGCAAAAAATGGGGATGGAAGGAACCTCTGAAGGTCACTTAATCCATTTGGGCATAAAGTAAAATGGCCTATGCCCATAGTAACAGCTATAGTCTCACAGACCGCAAAAAATCAACGAAAACTCAAATTGTCCTGACTAACATTTACCTTCCAGTTAAAGGAATTTTGTACCCAGCTGTAAGTAAATCTTTTCTATTTCCAGGCTGCCCCCTTTTCATTTTTGTCCCACTCCAATTACTTAATCTATATTTTCCTTTCTGGGCTTCAGGATATACATTATTTTTCTTTGATTCACAATAAAAGCTGGATGTTACATACAGAGTTGGGGTAGAACTGCATATAGATTCTACTAGTGCTTGAATTGAGGAGGAAAGATAGGGGACTCTTTAGTAAATATACATGCCTAACTCTTTCCAATTTTAGCGAAATTATGCCCCCCTTTTAGCCACAAAGATAAAGGCCCCCTGTAATTTGAGCAATGAAAAACACTTCCCCCTGAACAAAGCCTTCACAGTACTTTCACTGAAACCCAAAACAGACATTACTCTAAATGTGTCTCTAGCAGCTGAGTCTTTTTACTTTTACTTTAGAGCAGGCCCTGAGGGCCCAATCCAGATTTTAAAAGCACTTCTAAACCCCATGCTCAGAGCTTAATCTGAATTGGGACTCCCCCCACCACTTTAAAGAGTAAATCTTTTGAAAATGCAACTTTTAGAAATATGTTTAAAGAAAGGTCTGCTCTGGCCCTGAAAGCCACCATAAGGAGAAACTCAGCTGAAAGCATCCTCACCCGCACATCTGCCCATTTTGCTCCCTGTGTCCAAAGGAGAAGCTTAAGCAACATAAATTTAAAAAGCATCTGGAGCCAGGAAGAAAAGCTTCTAATGGGGAACTTTTAAGGAATGCCCTTCTCCTTGCCAGCACAACTGAAGATGACGCGTGGAGGACGAGTGTACGAGTGTGTAATTACAGACCGTTGCACACTGAAGTGAAGGCAGGCTGATGCGCCACCTGTGCATGATGGGTGTTACAGACAGATGTGATCATGAAAGCATGATCTGCCCTATGGCCAGAAACGGTGTTGGTGCAGCATTACCCGAAGACATACTTGCCTGTCCCTCCCTGCTCAAATCCAAAAAGTGCACTTTTCTACCTGAGAACAAAGCACTGGGGAATTTGCCAATCTTGGATTCTTTCCATTCTCGCAGGTGTTCAAATCTCAGGGTCGGAGATTAAACAGACCCATTCTTTCCACCTTCCTTTTCTACCTTTCTGAGGGGCCAAACGCAGAGCTGCTGCATGGTACCTACCACAGACTAGTCTAATTAGGACTATATCATTGCTAGTATTAACTCTGGAAACTGCCAAAATGAGGCTTAGAATTACAACCTTTGTTTTTTCTCTTATTCTTATTATCCCAGATCTGCTATTCTGGCACCAAGTAGGAGCTAAAGCAGACTTGTCCAAGAGGGAGCCTTTGGGATGCGCTGGCCGGCCACCCGTCACCTGAGAGCTGGCTGTCATTTGGCACATCCGGGGAGCACCAGGTGGCTGGAGGCTGAGCTAGAGGAGCATTTAAGTTTTAGAAAAGAAAGTGAGAAAGCGCGAGATAAAATTAACTAGCACGGCACGCGGGAGCAGGAGTAGCAGGTCCCCGGCTAAGCCCAGCCTGAGCCCACCGGGGACATCTGCCACATCCGCCCCCCACAGATTAGCTCCCCATTGCCCTGAGGCGCCGGGAGTGCGCAGCCGACACGCCGCTCTGTTATAGCGCTAAACTCCTGCGCGTACGTCAAAGCCGCGGTAAACTCAGCCCACGCAGGTATTAGCCGCAGCAGCAAAACAAAGCGAGGATGGACGGATGGACGGGCGATTAACGCTCTCCGGCAAGGGTCCGGCAGGAGGGAGTGCGCAAAGCAGCCGCGAGTGAAGTTGAAGCGCGCGTCTGTTCCGAGCATTTTGCATTTTGCCAAGCGAGTCTACCCCCCGCCCGCCCCGCACTCGCGCGCGCTGAATAGCGGCATTGTAAATAGCCATCCGAAGGCGAAGCGAGCCGCGGCTGGATGCGTCCCGCCGTCCCTCCCGAGGCGCACACGCGACGGTGCCCGGGGTGCCTACCGCGCCCGGTGGCCTCGCACCTCTCTGCCGCGCCGGCGAAAACTTGTCGGTCTCTCGGCAGTCCCGCGGCGCCCTCCTCGCAGGCTCCCTCCGTCCCTGCCGCTCTCGGTTAAGCCAATAATCCCCAATGGAGGGGAAGATTAATGCCAGCCCGGTCCGCCCCCACGGCCGCCTCCAATCTCCGCGGCGGCTGCAGAAGCGTCACGCGCCCCCCGCCCCGTCGCCGGGACGGGGCGCGATGCGGGCGGGCGGGCGCCGGAGCCGGAGCCCGGACTCGATGCGGGGGGAGCCGGGCGCGGGGGGAGCCGGGCACACGCGCGCCGGCCCGGCTGGTCGCAGGGAGGCGGCCGCGCGGTCTCGCCGTGGCCTCCCGCGTGCGGCGCCGCTGGAGCTTCAAGGCAAGGCGCCCGGGCCCGCCGAGCGCGGGGCCGTGGCCGAAAGGCCTGCCCCATGGCGCCCGTCTTTGCCATGGGAACGACTTGCCGGGGAGTTTGTGGCCGTGAAGTCCATAAAGAATATCGCGGCACCTCGAAGATGGACGCGTTCTATCTGGTATAATACATGCGCTTGATTTGATGTGTCACAAGCCTCTTAGGGCGCAATCACAAGTGAGAAATGCTGAGACAGAAAAAATTCGGAGCATGAAGGGGAGCACCCCTCTTTTTTCGTCAGTTATAACTTTTACCATTCATTGCAGTTTGCAAAGTCTCAACCCAGAATGGGACAAACTGCTGTTTGGAAGAGCCCTCGAGGTATGTGATGCTATTAGAGGTTTTTGGAACAGGCACCGATGATAGCCCACATATTGATCCTTTCCTTTGCGGTCCTCCTTAATGGTGAGGATCCATTCAGGTATTTCTTTTCTGGAATGTAGTAAGTAAGCAAGACTGCAGACCCCCAGTCTCATTCCTTAGAAATCAAAGCAAACTACAAGAAAAGAAGCAGCAAAGAAGGGAGACTGAGGATCTCCTTTCAAAACTATTATTTCCAATTGTCGGAGGCAACAGACGAGTGCCAAGTCTGCCACTCCGACCCTGAGGCCTCTCCCAGTGGCAGGTTACGCTCCCTCAGTCTGCCATTTGCCCCATCAGTGTGTTTAACACCATTTATTTAATTACCTTATTTAACATACTTTTAGGCCACCTTTTAAAGTATAGCCATTTTTCCAAAGTGGCATGAGGGATATACCGTATTTTTCACTCTATAAGACGCATCTGACCATAAGACGCACCTAGTTTTTAGAGGAGGAAAACAAGAAAAAAAATATTCTGAATCAAATGATTTACTAAACTATTTAATAAACTATAACAGAATACAGTAATACCGTATTTCAACCTCGTAAAGTGAACAGCAGTCAACAGTGGCATTAAGAACCATCATCACTATCATTAATGAAAGACTTTAAAGTTTGAGTACTCTTCTAGTTTTTGTTGAACCCACAGAACTCATCATCACTAGAGTCAGAATTTATGAAGCTCTGTTGCTCACAATCACTGACATCACTTTCTTAGTCAGTAGTGGAATTATTGAAGGAATCCACAGTATACACCAGTTATACAAGAGCTGCTGCAGACAATTCAATAAATCGAAAAAAGCCAGTAATGTCCATGCTGCCATACTAGTAAATAATAGAAAAAAACTTCTGACAAAAAAATGACATATTGTACGGTAAATCAAACACACAGCAGACTAAGTAGCCTTTGAAGAATAAACTTCATACACGAAGGTAATGCTGTTCAAATATCCACTGATCCTAAAAAAAAATGTGTCTGATCAACTAACACATAACTGATCCATGGAAAGCTTCTTAATAACCACAGGCACATTCCCCATCACTTCCCCATGGGCTTCATTAAAAGACGGGTTGCCATTTGAAAACACACACCGACCTGTGATTAACAGCTCTCACCTGCATCAAGGAGGGGGGTGGAGCAGGGTGCACCGAGCACGTGCTGGCCAGGTGGTGCCACGTGGGGCCAGCAGCGTGCCGGAGGTGGTCTTCCGGGCGGCGTGGCGGCAGGTCTTTCCAGGTCGTGGGGGTGAGCAGTTCGTTGGTGCGGCCGGCGGGTTAAAGCCCGCAGCTCCTCCTCCTCCTCACCTCTCCCCCTGAGCAGCATAGCTCTCACCTGTGCCAGAGGAGGGGGGCAGAGCAGCGTGCACCGAGCGTGTGCCGGCCAGGTGGTGCCACGTGGTGCAGGCGGGCCGGCAGTGTCCCGGGTGTCGGGCACACACACATTCGCTCTATAAGATGCCCAGATATTTCCCCTTTTGAGGGGGGGGAAGTGTGTCTTATAGAGCGAAAAATACAGTAATAACATATTAAACATTGGGATGAACATAACCAAGCAATAGAACAAACAAATACAAAGTCATCAAGTTTTCACTGTTATTCCTATGACCTGTTCCTTCTCGGGAATCCATTCCTTGATTGTTTTGATAGCCCTTTGTGTTCCAATTGCAGTTTTACTGTGGAAAAATGTCATTAATGTGTGGGTTTTACTTCTGAGTCAATTCCTTGAGGCTTTTGGAATAAACTGTCCTCAGTGAGGATCTTGAAGTGGCTTGCTAGTTCCTGGTTCCTCATAATCATGAAAGTTAGAAACAGTTCAGTGAGTATATATAATAAGGAACTAACTAATATGTCTCTGTAGCACCTGAATTACAAATAAATTAGGCCAACCCTACGTCACCAGGAGATTGCCCACCTTGAGTTCTACAGTCATTCCCTCCAATCAAAACTTGGTTTTACATGACATTAAGGAACTGGGGGTAAGAATCCCAAGCTAAGCTTTGAGCAGTTATAAATCTTGTACTCATAGCTCCAAGACAGGTTTTTCTAGGAGGCACCCTTGCACCCATCCCAGTGCCTAATTTGAGCATAAGACTCTGGAGCACATTGCCACCATGTCAAACAAATGTATAAATGAAAAAGGAGCTGCAGGTATGCAAGGCATAATATGTATTGGACTACCGCAAACCTTGCACCATCACCTCTGGAGGAGCATCCCCTATGGAACACTAGCAGTGTGTCCAATCCAATGCTCTTTTTGGGATGCAAGACACAGTCAAGTGCGGTGCACCCTGCCATGAAAAATCATACACCCAGAACTTGAGAACTGACTCTCAAAACCATTCCTCCACCCAATTCTTCTGTTTTTGTAAAAATAAAAGAAGCAAGTCCTGATATATTGCATGTAAAATCTTTTTTTGCTCTAATTCTCCCACAATTAAGTATGAATACAACCTTCATAAATTAATTTCGGACATTTCTCCAGTGGTCTCCTTTCTGAAACACAGTTCTGAACTGATGTGATACAATTGTTTGTCTAGGTCTCTGACGAATATATTCTTGCAGCAGTTAATATACTATTAACCATAATATCTAACACAGTTACTAAATATCACAATAATATTGCATCAAACTTTTATAAAATTAATGGAACCCAATCCATGTCATAAGTATTTGTTTGATTCTTCCCATCTCTCTGAGGAATTGGCTTCTCTTCCAAACCAAAAGAGCTTTCATCAATGTACTTCTGTGGAGAGTTTTCTAACGTCTCTAGCGCTCACAATCGTGTAAGACATGTAGTGCTGAAATCATACCAAGAGTTTCAGTCGGTTCTCTGCTTTCACATTCCACAATGACACAAATGCATGAAAAGATTCAGCTCTGCCAAACCATCATCCTGTTTACAAAACCAGGAGTTTGCTTTATCATAACTGCAGCATAAATTCAAGTTAATGTAAACAAATCTCTCATCTGAGCTCACTTCCTTGAGAATGCTGACATATTGTATTACTGGAAGCACACCCTCCCTTCCATGTTGTTTTCTACATTGCCAAGTCCTGGCTTGGCCCAACACTTGTCATCCTTACAGTGGCACATGGACACCAGGGAAGGTGAGGAAGCAGTGCAAGGTTCTGAAAGGGCGGTTCAGAAAAGAGTTAGTTTAACCTATAGAAACAGGAACCGTGCATGAACTTTATTGCATCATTCTGTGCCTAGAACTGATGAAGCCTGATCCTATAGGCTTAATCCAAACCACACATTGGGACCATCACAGTCACTTGTCAAATTGCAGAGCCTTGTTTACAAGGATTCCTTCATTCATAAGCCATCCTCATTCCTCCCGTGGTTGCATCCTTGGTAGCTGGCTGAGCCCGCAATGGCCTTCTCCAGGCCAGGCGGATGTTCCGCATCCGCCTCCGAGTCTGAGGGGAGCATGGCGGCCATCTCCCACAAGGTCCAGGATCCTGCTCAGCCTGAGCATGCCATTCAGACTGGAGGAGTTCAGGTTGCCTTCCATGAGAGGCTATGTCAGCACTCCTCACCGTGTCTTGCACCCAAATGAAGCACTGGGCTAGAAGCAATGCCACAGCGGATATGCTCCTGGAGCTGCCAGTGTATAATGCAGCATAATTCCAAATCTACTGCTATGATGCAGCCCCAATTCCATGTTTTTCCTAGCAGTTACTGGCATGGCAGTGCCCTGTTGGACCATGTCTAATGCTCAAAGCATTGACCAGGCATGATGCTGTGGCATCTCATAAATGCCATTTCTCTGTAGGTGGGGTAAGCATTGTTTTGGGAAAATGGTGAGGAGGTTCTTAGGGTTCAACAGGCATTGTGGTAAAATTTTCCAGATTCTAAAAGGCATTCTAGCTTCTTGAAGTCACGCCAACACTTTATGGTCTTTAACTTGTTAGGAAGAGCACCAGAGGCGTTTGCCTCAAAGCCACTTTCCCCAGTCACTCTGTGATAAGGACTGTCTTTGCTGTGAAAAATGGGTGGGGAGCCTGTGTGCATTCTGACAAACTGCAACTGTGGGAGAAGGCAGCTTTGTAAAATCCATGGCAAGTGGTGTTGTCTTTCCTTGAAAGAAATTGACATGCTGTTTCCCCAGGCTACTCTGGAAACCCGTGATGAGGGAACCTGCACAACCACAGTGATGGTGGGCGTTCGTTTTCTGTCACTTGTTTATCCTCTGCCTCCATATTTCACCACTGTGTTGAGCAAACTGTTATAATAATGGCCACAGGTTGTTCTGTTTCTTCCAAAGTATATTTGAATCTAAAGTGGGGTGCCTTGGCTGAA